AAATATTAAAAATATATAAATGTCACATTTTCATTTATAACTTTCAATTAATAGCCTATATGAAGCAAATAATGAGGAGACAAAAGAAATTGGCTGTTATGTCAAATAACTAACAGACAGTGCTGTTTCTTTGTTTTAAATCGTTATCAGAATCTCGCAGACAGCGGTGTATCCTATAACTGTTTATTTACCTTCTTGTCGTACGTAATATTCATATGTGCTTAGCAAATATGTAAGATCATTGACGCGTGTGCTGTGGTGATTAATTAAAATCCCGCTACTACGTACGATATCTCAAAGAGAGTAACTAATTAATCTTAGCCGCTTCGTAGCCGTTTTTCCTTCCTCCAGACAAAAGGAAAGTTTGATAATTATATCATGGTTGATGTTTTATATATATATATAATTTAAATAAGAACATTAATTTAAATATTTTCTCTTTATACAAGAAAATATTGACTTTATATTTTCTGTATAAGTTTCTTATATATATAAAAATTTGATAAACTTGATAAAAGATAGATAATATTTACTTTTTAACATCTCTTTAAAGTGAAGTTCCATTTTTCGAATTTTCAGAATAATTCAAATCAATATACATATATTAATAAAATATTTGCAAAATTTTTTAATATTATATTTATGAGACTTAGATATTTTTTTAAGAGATTATATATAAATATAACACTTGCACATAAAATTTTATGATCTGAATGTATTTATAAAAAAATTTTCAATTAGAATTGCCAATAGATTTTATCACCTTAATTTTATATCTTTCATATGATCTCACGCTCATATATTTTTCACTGAAAATACGATGGCATTATCCGTTGCGACATCACATGACAGTTAATATCTCGCGCATCATTGTTAAACATTTTGCGGAGATGAGATTGTAATGCTAAAGCGACTATGTCTTCCGATTGTGGTTTGTTTGAAGAAATCTTATCTCGAGAATTATTTAATGTACCGTATGGTACATTAAATGTTATCACAATCTACTAATCAAGCACTTAAAAAATTATTGCATTCCTTCTCATAGTGGATTATCAAGAGTACTAAAGGTATCAGTGTTTGATGAACTCTGTGATGAATAGGAAGTCTTTTATCTGTAATTGCTATATTTCATAGACCGCGTTTCTTCTTTTAAGATTCGCTTCGATAAAGCTGCAGGTTTAGAAATACACATCAATCTCGCGAATTGTGAACAATTTGAGCAGTGGGAATTATTTTATTCATATAACGTGCTGAGGAAAAATTAAAATTCATCGAAAAACCATGGTTTTGTGTATGTATAATTAATTAATATAGGTTATCTAATTGAATGTATTACATTAAATTTATTTTCTTCAATAATTTAGATTGTGATTAGTTATTAATAGAAAGCAGCATTTGCACGCATTGCAATTTTAATATCATGTTTGCACAACTTTCGATATCGCAACTATCGTCAGAGCATTGAGAGGCGTGACTATGATTAGTTAATAGTTTTGCACAATTCTTGATATGACACAGTCGTGATAAGTTGACGACGTTTAGACCTCGCTGATGTATTTAGAATTTGACAAAGAACTCATTAAATAATATAATAATGTCTATAATAATAAATAAAATTCACATAACTTATTTTTATTTAATAAAATTGAAAATATATTTAATTATTATTATTCTTTTTAAATGTTTTATTATCATTAAACGTAGTCGGATTGAATTTCCCACTTGCATTTATATTCGCATATAAATTTATTACAAGATTGGTCCTCGAATTTTTGTTATTTTAATTATCTTTGGAATTATTTTTGTTTTTACACGTTTGTCCTGTTTACAAATCATAGGGCCGAATGTTACTCTCCCTCAAAGTTGCAACCTCAAGGGGCTTCTCCTGCGGAGGATACCGATTCTAACATGGCTGCCTCTGTACAGTTGGGGCAAACTTCTGCAGGATACTTTGGCAGGGTTGACAGTGGGTCTGACCGCGATACCGCAGGGCATCGCGTATGCAATAGTAGCTGGACTTCCAGCTCAGGTGAGTACACGATACGAAGGTTCTTGCGATCGTTACATTGCTGCCGCATGCAGATTTTCTTCCGAATGAATGACACTCGAATTAAAGCCATTAATTTCAATGAATCAAGGTAATAAAATAATAATATTCTCCAAAAAAATCATGATGAAAGCTAATTAAAATATACTATCTTAAGGTATTCTTTTAAATTAATTAAAACTGTTCGGAACAGTATATCAATTTATATTATGCAACTCTAAAAATAATTATTGAAATAGATCGTGAAAAATGAAAATTCGGCCCTAAAATTCACGGCAATCTTAATTTGAAAATGAAAAACTTGCGCAACTTGTCGAACTATTTGCAATTTTTCGCTCAGTTAATTGAATCTCTCGAGTATGTTGAGGAACTCCATCGAGTAACCGATCTAATCTACGGTAATTGGAAAGACGACTCTCGTTAGGTGAACTTTTGAAAACTTCAGTATGGCCTGTACAGCAGTTTCATGGGTTGCTTCGTTTATCTGGTCTTCGGTAGTAGCAAAGATGTCACGGTGGGACCTACCGCGATAATGGCTTTATTGGTGCAAAAGCACGTGATGAGTCTGGGAGAAGATCTCGCCGTAAGTGGCGTTTATTAACCTCGTCCAGCACTTCAAAACTCAATTTTCCCTCTTCGCTTTGTACAATTGTTCTTATTTCATATCTCTGATATTGTGATCAATTAATACAACTTATTTATTTATTAATATTAATAGTTTATTAGTATTAATATACTTTTGCTTTAATGTTGTTATTTTAAATTTGAGTTTTATTTAATTTATATAATTTTATTGCAAAGTATTTCACTTTAAATTTTCATATAAGATTTAGATAACATTATTTTCAGGTACTCTTATGCTTTCTATCAGGCATTGTGATCACAATCTTGGGAATGCTTCATTTGGGTTTTCTCGTAGATTTTATAAGTATGCCTGTAATTTGCGGCTTCACTAATGCCGCAGCGATTATTATCGCTACTTCTCAGTTAGGTACTTTATTAGGTATAAAAGGACGCAGTGATTCCTTTGTCGATTCCATTTCAAAAATTATCGATCATATACACGAAATCCAGCTTTGGGACACAGTGTTGGGAGTGTGCTCGATGATAGTGTTGGTTCTCCTCAAGGTATGATTGATTAAATAACTAATAATTAAAGATTGCTTTTAAATATTTTAAATATTTTCTTAATATTTTTTATTAAAATTCCTTAAATCAATACTTTTCATTTACCCATGAAATATAGAATTATTAATGAAAATAGAATTATTAATCATCAATATCGCTTGTGGACATTATTTATCAGTTTTCCCTTTAGTCATACAATTTTTAATCAATTCATTAACATTAATTTCTGAAAGATCCTATTTTTATTATTATTAAATGTCAAAATAATCCTTGTAGAATCTCTTTAAATTTTTTACTATAATAAATGTGCATTTAATTTATGTGCCATTATTTCAACGAGTATAATTAAAATGTAATTAATAAATCAAAATTTTTCATCGAAAATAGAAATTGCCCGGCAAGAAGACAGGAAGTCCTTTTGAAAAATTCATGTGGTTAATGTCTTTGGCGAGAAATGCCCTAGTCGTGATGGTTGGAATACTTATAGCTTATATACTATTCTCTCACGAAATCAAACCTTTCCAAATTACGGGAAACATAACCAAAGGTTTGCCACCGTTTGCTTTGCCTCCATTTATCATCGAACACGAAAATCGTACATATACGTTTGTAGAGGTAGTCGGTGAACTTGGTAGCAGTGTTATTTCAATACCACTCATTGCTATCTTGGAGAGCATCGCTATTGCTAAGGCCTTTGGTAAGTAAATATTGAATCACTTAATTTTGATTAAATAATAAACATATTGCGATCGATGAAGATACCTTTCTCTGTAATTTTGTAATAATTATGAGAGCAAAAATCAATTATAAATCGTTCTCTCATCAGTCTCATCAGTCTCTTGAGTAAAACGCAAATTTTCTAAACTGTGTGATTCCTTTGGAGAAAATTTCTGTTTATTTCTTTGTTTAGATTTATACTTGGATCTCACAAATTGTTGCACTTTTGCATTGCTCTCTTTACTAATAATTCTTTAGGCAGCAAAATTTTTTTTGCGTTATATTTGAAAATTTTCGGGAAATTTGCAGCGAAAGGGAAGACTCTTGATGCCAATCAAGAGATGCTAGCACTCGGCCTTTGCAACGTATGCGGCAGTTTTGTAAGATCGATGCCTACGACAGGAAGTTTCACTCGTACCGCCGTTAACAATGCGTCCGGTGTTAAAACGCCAATGGGTGGTATTGTCACCGGTAGTTTGGTGCTTCTGACATGCGGCCTGTTAACATCTACTTTCGAATTTATTCCGAAAGCCACGTTAGCAGCTGTCATCATAATCGCGATGTTCTACATGCTCGAATTACATACTTTCGTTACTCTTTGGAGAACAAAAAGTAAGATATTATTTTTCATAAATATATCCAGGTATCAGTATCAATATTACGCTACTTGTTAGATGTTTTTCGTTCTAAATATTTTTTCGGTAATTCGATAAGACTGTTCTTTTTTTTATTGCAACTACATACATCGATTCTATCATGATTAACATGAGATGCAAAAAAAAAATATTCGACTAAAAAAGCATTAAATATAGCTTATAAATTATCCGGTTAGGGGTTAATTTAGTTTTCTTGAGATTAACCGTTTTCTCTTTCTCTGGGGTTGAACAGAAATCGATCTAGTGCCGTTGATAGTGACGTTATTATGTTGCTTGGCGGTCGGTTTGGAGTACGGTATGATCGCCGGGATTGCGGTAAATCTAATTCTCTTACTCTATTTCGCGGCTCGGCCCGGGTTATTGATCGAAGAGCGGATCGTTGATGGCTTGACCGTGCTTTTCGTATCGCCCAAGCAGTCCCTGAGTTTCCCAGCGGCAGAGTACCTCCGAGAGCGAGTAATGTCGTGGTAAGTCCCACCGCAAATCCGCGTAAGAAATGATCTGGACGCGCGCGTATACCAGCTGTTTCGAAAACAAGTATAAAATACTTTCGTGAAATCTTTCGCAATTTTTGCAAGCCTGGCAACTTGAATCAAAAAATTTGATTGAACTCGCGCGACAAATAATATTTCTCTCGCGCGTGGATGAGATTGAATCTCGTAAAAAGCAACGCCACGCATTAGACTTGACGTTTCTTCCGACGAAGGATACCTTTGATAAAGATTTATTTCGTATTTTGCGACTTTGTTGCGTGTCTAGGTGCGACAAGAGACCGACAAGTTTACCGGTGGTAGTGGAGGGCCGTCACGTGCTGAGGATTGATGCCACAGTCGCGAAAAACCTGGCGCTACTCCTGTCGGATCTCGCCGCGCGGGATCAGAAGCTCATTTTTTGGAATTGGTCCGAGGACGCCAGACGGACTTTGATAAGTTACGACCCGTTACTCGCGACCTATTGTAGATCGTGCGCCAGTATAACGCAGATATTTTCAGGTAACACCTCGATCTCTCACTTTTTTTCACTTTGCGTCTCACGAAATTGTCCGTTTTGACATAGAATTTCGTGGAATTGTAACAGGAATCTTTGAGGCATTTATATGTCACCGATTTATATTCTATATTCTTCTAATTTAATTTGATCTTTTATAAAGAAAATTATATATTTCAAAACAAATTAAAAAAATTTGTCGCGTAATTTTTAGTAATATGAATAATTTGGCATTTTTATACAACTAATATACTTTACATTTATTGGTAAGATAAATATAGCTGGCTTTTCTTTTCTTATCGAATTCTTAAATGAGGATTTATTATGAAAAACATTGTAAATATTTCATGACAGTCTGAAAACACACAAGTAAAATGAAAACTTTAAAAAGCAGAGTTAGTTCGAAAATTATATAAATTTGACTACTATATTAAAACTATAAATGTAATCTATTTTAAAAATTTTAACTTAATCGAGGTAATCTTTTTTACATCGAGTCCTACTTTCATATCATCAATCGAGATTAACGCCATGACGCATTAGTTCACAAGTTTATGAACTGCATATTTCTCTTCCGGTTACTCAAGGAAAGAGGCCGGAAGGCGTTTCGAAATTTTCCGCGCTTTATCAGGCTCGACGTGACGCGCACGAGTTTGCAAATTTACGAGCCTCTGTGCTTTCGCGGAGGACACATTCTCACACTATTCGGGAAGTTAATGGATTGTGGCGTCTCTGGAAATTTCCGTATTATCAGGCACGACGTAACGTTCGACAAAAGCACATTCGCGAATAAAGTCTATATTTTCAGAAGAAAAGAAAAAAAAAATTAAAAAATTATTTCTCTTGAAAACTCAGTAGCAAGTAAATTTCGGAAATTACAATCGGAAGAGCTTCCCCGAAGCATCGTGAATTCACGAAAAACGCTGTTTCCAAAATGTCATAAAATACAATATCGGGAAAAAAAATATTGGATCTAATCCAAGATAGTTTACTCGTTGATTATAATTGAGCACACTATGTATGTAACTGCGATCGAACATCGTGGGCATTTACGCAGCGACCTATATCATCACGTATGCGCATAGTGAATCACTTATGACAACCCCCTCTTTCTCTTCTCCTACCGCTGGTACCGGGGAGTATTACACTCTGAACGTACACCACATTGTTTCTGTCGTGTAACAGCCGCGACGGGACGGCGGTTGATACAACATCAGCCTCGCAGTGTTCTAAACTCGTTTCATTTCGCATAGAAAACAAGTCTCCACTTCAGACATACACAACTCACATTAATTAGCCTTAAAAGTGCCCTGTTGGAATCGATCAGTTTATTCTGAATTATACTCCATTTAACATTAATTATATATTATTATATTATAATATCATTAAAATTATATATTATTATATTATAATTACATATTATTTTTTAATATTATATTAAATGTGGAAAATTAAATATGAATATTGATGTTAAAAAATAATGAGATGACATGTACAGCCCATCCAATGTAATATATATGTGAGGCCTTTTGTCAAGATTATTTTATTAATTTCCCGATCATTCCGCTTAAAAATTTTAATATGATTAATGATTTATTTGAAAATATTTCTATGATTATTTTTTAATTATTTATATAAATGTAACCGACATTTTTATATATTTTATAATTTTAGAAAAAAAATTTGATTATATATCAAACAACTTTATATACAGCAAAATATTTTATAAGTATTTTACGTGTTATTTACGATGATTATGAAAGAATAACGATTTTATAATATAAATAATAATATTTTTTAGACAGTAATCAGATATCGCTTTTCTGTTTTCAGATGAAACCGTAATTCACTAATGAGCCGATAGAATTACTGCCACAACAGACATGTGTTCATTCCGTTTACTAGGACAAATTATTAAATGCTATTTTACTAAAATTTTTATGTATAACATTAATATACACATCATGCAATAATATTAAATATAAATTTTACAAAGTAATTATAAAATATAATATTTATTATATATATATATATATATATATATATATATATATATATTTACAGCGTTCTCTTTGTGCATTCCGTAGGAAATTGAAAACACGAACGCTGGTGTAAACGATAATGTGATCACCCGAGAAACACGTAGATTATTGACAATATTATTTTTATCGTCAGGAAAGCGACGAACGGATTATATCAACGACAGGGTTGTTACCCTTCATTTTTATTATTTCCCATTATAGAACGAGTGATCTTTTTCTGCGTCAGTTGTTAATACACTATCCAAGATTATTGATTGAAAATGTAAAAGACTCTCTGACCACAATCCTTTTCTTGGCTTTCTCTCTTTTCTTATATACACAGTATGTCCTGAATTCGCGGATTAAAATATTACAGCAAGAAAATAAAAACATTTCAATTTTTTTGTTCTTAGTAACCATAAGTAATGTTAAAATGTAAGAATTTAAAATTATTCAAGCGACAGGAGGTTAAATAATTATCTGTCTGTAAATAATAAAACTCATTTGATGCATTCATTTAGATTTTTAAAAAAAGACTGTTACTCTTCGTTTAAGCGCATTATCGCGTATAATGATCACCCATCAAAATATTGATCGCGAATTAATATGCATAAGCGAACGGCAATGTACTTTTTTGTATAATGTCAGCGAACGAGTGAAATATATGGTCATTGCACGATATACATGCAAGGTAATCGTTTAATATAGCTAGTAAACGACCATTTTTAAATCTCTATAATTCAGGAACTACTTAAAATAAAAAATATCATAAAAACTTTTATTACTTTATTTTTCAAGATTATAATATATTTAAATTTGTAAATTTATTATCTGGTATATGTGAGAATATAAAGCGTCTATTAAAATTATTTTAAATTCTATTAGCGTTTTCGAGTGAATTGAAAATGATTTAAAAAATCAATCAATAATAATTTAAGTATTAATTTTGCAGAAATTACGTGTCTCTGCGTACTTTTTTGATATTGGTTGCCGAATAAAAAAAATATAATTTCTTTTACTCCGATTTCGTCGTATAAAAAAATTGCCGCTTGTGTGCGACGTAAACTTTGCATTTGCATACCTGCATTGAGGAACCTTCCTCTTTTCGTCGAAATAAACAAATATCGTTTGCGAAACGACGTATATTTCGCGCTGCGAAATTTTGCCGATACCAGAGATTGTTTCTCATTCGTTAGTCGACCGTGAAATCTGTATGAAAGGCGGACGCGGCCTCCGGCGAGTTCCGTTTCGCACGCGCCCTTTCGATTGCGGGCGGACGCGCAGGCGCACGAATGGCCAATCGCAGCGACGGGTTGGTAGAGGGTGCTCCGATCGATGCGACGGCGGCCGAGCGCGTTCGCATCGCCGACGTTGGTTTGGTTTCGCGCGGCTCGCTCGGCGTGGTATTCCGCTGACGATTGGCCGATCGACATCGACCCGGTAGGCAGTGCGTGCATGCGTGCGTGCGTGCGTGCGTGCATGCGTGCGTGCGTGCGTGCCCTCTGCTGCACGCGTATATTCTCAGCGTGTCTCTGCGTGCTTATTTCCTCGGTCGTCCGCTTTTTCGCGAAATCGGCACGATTGATGGTGATCTTCACTCGTTGACTCGTCGCGCGAAATTTTCTCTTCGCCACCGAATGTGCCGCGGTAGCGTACCATCCGTTGCATTTTTTTGTTTATCCACCCGATGGTCGGCAACGCTCGAGATCGTCGTCGCGATATGAACACGAGGCGCTCGGCCACGGCCGGTGGTGACAGCTGTCACAGGGACGTCGGAGTCAGGACACTGCGGCCAGACGACAGGACACCGCGCGGACGTCGGGCGCCGATCGTGAGTAGCGTATCTTTTCCGTGATCTCTTATCGCGCGCGACGAGGGGTGGCTCGGCCCCGGAGAGCCGCTCTCCCTTTGCCCGTCTCACGAAGTGGCGTGAGGGTTGCGCGAGGGTCGCACCGCTCGCTGCACCGAGGTCGGCGTACCGCGCGCGCGAGCCTACGGCACGCTCGATATACCTTCATTTTCACCTGCCGCTCTTCCGCCCGTCTTCCTCTCACGCGAAGCGAAATTCACTCGAGAGATTTCTGTCGTGCGAGAAACGCTTTTTCCTCCCATCCGTCTTGAGGATCGGCGCGACTCGCGGACGGTGTCGAATTCATCGAGCGTGCTGCGCTTCCTGGCTAGGGGTGGCATGGAGGAGATTTCGGGATCGAGCTTACCACTCGTCAGGTAGAAAATAATGTTTAAGAACAGTTCCGAGAAATGTCTGTTTATATACGTTTACATATCTATTTATATACGTATATGTCTTTCGACTTACAATGAAATTGAACAATGAACTCGTTCGGTTATGTGGTCATTGTACCTGTTTTTGGATTTCACGAGTTTTCGCAATTAGCGCGCGCATGATTTAATGCTGTGCATACCGAATTTTTAATACATTTCGATTTTCTTCCTCTTTTACTTCGATACTTCGCAACTTTTCCAACAAGTTGCAAGGAAATCCTTTATGAATGTGATCCTTTTGATCTTCGAAGGACCGTGAGAATGCTGAACTTAGTTACAACATCTTAATTACTTCCCTTCCATTTTCATTTTTTTTTTTTATTGCAATCTGTTTCTAGATTTCAATCTGCTTTCTTATTTCGAGTATTCTTAACTTTTTGATGTCGATGTTTCTCTTATAAAATTAAATTAATAGTCTGTATATTGAACTTTACAGCATGAGTTTCTTTAAGTTTTTAATATTGTCAATTAAACTCTTGGATAATTTTTGTTTCTTGTACATTACAAGATATTAATGAAATATGATAAAACATTAATTTTTTTCTACTTGAAATATACTAAAATGTACGAAAAATGTCAGTGAGAATGTGTTCCAAATTATTAATAAATATATATACGTCTTATTTCTCGGATATTTTTTTTAACAGTAGAATTCTCGATAAATCCGAAATCAATTTTTCCATTAATGAGAATATCGGGAGAGAAAGGTATAAAAATTTTTCAATTCAATTTTTAATAATATAAAAATTCAATTTTTAATATTATATATTTTCGTTGATTAAACTTCAAATCAAAATCTTATTAAGATAAATCCTAAAATTTGCTAATAAACGTAATTTTACAATTCACAGGCTTTCTTTTTCATTTGCTTGAAATTATAAATATTTTTTTTATTAAGAAAAAAAAGCCTTTCTAAATTGATTGAAGGAACGTATTATTAAAAATAATGCATGAAATGTGGGTCACGCCCAGTAATATCCTTTTCGCATGCGTGCGTGTATATATTTAATATATAAGATATATTTTTTTATATAATCTACCATTTATAAGTTCCCGATATACTTTTTTAAATCGAACACACATTCTTGTGTAAATTTCTTTTATTTTAGCAATAATTACAATAGTTTGATCTTTTTTAATTATAAAACAACAAAAGTATCTTTCACGTATTTGTCTTTGCTGCTTGGAAAGTTTACAATTCTATTTTACTTAACTTTTCCGGAAATTGTATATGTCAACGGTAGTTTTTAATACATATATATAGAAAATACATATACCTCGGTGATTCGTGTCATTTCTACTGCAAAACATTGTAAAATATTGAATGTTACATTAATAAAAAAAAATTACGCAAAATTATTTGCTTAACTATTCGTGCCGATATAATTATACGCGTCTTTAATGAGGCATGATTTCTCGTTTTTGTCATTATTTTATGTCTTGGCAATATATGTGTATTGCTGATCTGTATTACATGTAACAAGATAAACTATAAGTTTAAACTACACAGAAGCTTGCGTGACAGGTTCGTGTATTTAATACGAAAAACCAATTCGAATTTTGTCTTATCACCGGCGTCAGCTTTTACGTTATCGCACGAATCATTCTCTTAACACGATTTCCACATACGATATTTGATTGTGTCATGGTTTTAGCTAGATTTCGCCTGATTTTCATCGCAGGTATCACCGATAAACGGTTCGCCGATAAATGCGAGTAAATATCACATGATACTATTTCAATTGTCGATAGTGTTTTACCCGATAATATTTTGCTCAACATCAATTTGGGTGCTTTATTGTTTCGCTATTATATTTTTTTTTTGCATGCCACGGCACGTATTTGCGTATTAAATAATGAAATTATTCAAATACGCATAATAAAATAATGACAAAAACGAAAAATCATGTCTCGTTAAAGGCGCGTATAATTATATCGACACGAATAGTTAAGCAAATAATTTTGCGTAATTTTTTTTTATTAATGTAACATTCAATATTTTTCTTAATTATGTCAACGAAATCATATAATGTGATGTTTTATCAATTAAATGAAAATGTTGTTAATTTCATTTACAATTAACAAGGATGGATAATAATATTATAGAAACATATTATTCTGTTTATATATTCTTTACTACACACACACACACACACACACACACACACACACACACAAACATACAAACACACACTTTCCTTTATTTCTATATTATTTTTATATTAGAATAATTCGGGAATATGCCGAGTATGATTAATGGGATATGTGGCGCTGTATAATTTTAAATTACACGGTATAATCTAAAACCCACGCGATACATTACAATATTAAACTCCCTTTTGAGATAACGTCTTCTCTTCGCTTTTTCAGAGATACGTCCGATACTCGGAAACGTAGCAGAAGATAAATCATTTTCACCGCCATCGATAGCCACCGGGACGGTTTAGCGACCGATTTTTCCCGCTTTATGTAATCCCAAGCGGATGAAACACACGCTCGAAACGACGAACCACGAACGCGTCTAGATAAAACAACCTCGAGATAAGAGGATTAAGTGTCGCTTACTCGCAACGGCCCGCTTCCTTTTACTCGCGCGCGTGTCACTTATGAAAAATCGCGTCCTTTTGTCTTTTCCCAACATCACGAGAGCATCTACGTTGTGCCGCGTACGACGAGGAGATCGGGATTGCGATACGAATATCGAGCAAGAATGTCGCAGAGGCGTTAACATTTAAATGAGCTCGTCGCATAGTCCACCTCGCGATTCGCGCAGGCGATAACGAAAACTCTTATTTTTACCTTTCCGCATGATACTTATTATTATAAATTATAAACGCGCAGATTATAAACTCGGCTTTCGACTCGGTTTTCGATTGATATCACCGGCGGATTTTTACTCACGGTAATTATCACGGTGCGGAAATTAACTCGAATGTGTAAGGTAATGTGTAACGTTTGTTCATGTAGAAAGTTTATTTTCTCCTCTGAATGCCGAGGCATCTTATTCTTCTTTTCGATTACGTAATCAATAACGGACCATCTTGTGTACAGACGGCGCGCTGAGTAATCTCCTCCAATTTTAAGCGAGCGTTATTGAAGGTTATTGATTCTTTTAATAATACGAACACGTGCACAGAGTGGCATAATAGGCTTTTTCCAGACGATCGATGTGCAATCAGAGCGCTCGAGGACACTCAGCATATTAAATATGCATGTAAAGATATAAATTAAAAATTTATACAACATCGCCCGTAAACCGAGTGAAAGCAGATAAATCGTGGAAAAAGTTAACACGGGAATTTATTTATGACACTCTGTTTCGTGTAAATTTTGATAAATTATTCAACCTCTCTAAAACGAGCCGCAAAACGCTAAACTGAAAAAGATTCATTTTATAATTTATATTATATGAATATAAACGTAAACAAAATACACATGTTGCAGAATGATTGTGAAAAAGAAATATAAATAATATAAATAGTTATCCGTTTTGAATTTACTTCATTCAACATTTACTTCTATCAACTTTCATCATTTTATTGTTATATAAAAAATTCCAACTTTCATCATTTTATTGTTATATAAAAAATTATATAAAACGCGATTTCTAACACAATTCCCTTTCTAAAACTTTTTCTCTTTATTTAATTTTGCTTGACTTACGCAGTTTGAAATTAATAATATTACGTTCTTCATTTCCTTATACTTTTTTACTCGTAAATTAATTTCTCATCTGCTGATTACTTTCGTTTCTTTTTTCTCTTTTCCGGATAATTCTTTAATTATAACCTTGATTACCTTTGTTTCCTTCCACAAAATATCTCGTTACTTAAATCTGCAATTAAACTGTCAGCTGCTGTCGTTGACGAAGAACTACTGCCGTGCAATTAGCGATGACGACGATTTCATTGTCAGTGCGCGCGTCGACGACCACTTTATTGTTTCCACCGTGAAATAAATCATTTCCACCTCTATACCTGCCTTAATGAATCGTTCATTTTCAGCGTCGTTAAATATCGAGATCTCGGCCAGGAACGCGAAAATCATAACGCTCTGCAAAATAAAAAAGCATCCATAACTCATTTAAAATCGAGACTACTGAATACAAGAATAATCATCTGTATCACGAATTTATTTTCTACAGCACGCTGCGTATTCGAGTTGTAAAATTTATATATTATAAAAATTTACAGAATTTATATTTAAATATTTCTTTTAAACGATTTTAACGATATTTAATCTTGTTTTATGTTTCCTTAACGAATATTATTACACGTTAGTTATGAAAAGGATTAAAGAACGTCGTACGATATAATTCCATTCCGTCAGAGCGAACGAATTTTTTTACGTCTCTAGCTTTGCGTTCCGAGATTTTTCAGGACAATCGCTTCCAGTAGATTCTTTTGAGACGACGTCCTAACATCACTGTCAGGTATACAACGGCGGGGTGGAAGAAACGCTAGTTTACTATCTTACGGGACGATGTCCCGTATTACCCACAGGTCACGACGTCAGAAAGCAGAGGAAATCTTTCGATGTTGGAACATATTGTGGCCTAGTAAAGGAATCGATTGGTGCAACAGGCGGAAGGAAATAATATCCGTTGCGGTCAAACTGACCAGATTGCCCTTAGGCCCTTCCATATTCATTTCCGTGTATAAACGTTAAGAAATATATAACTCGAGGGGAAAAAGAGGAAGATGACTGTTGATTGCAATGCCACTATAATTTTCAAGCGGACACTTCCTTTTCACACTTTGTCATTTCACCGCTTTGGCCACGAGAGTAGCCGAGAATTTAATTCAAATAAAAGAGAATTTGTGAAAAGTTGAATAACTTGTCTTTTTAACAAATTTATTAATTTAAAAATGGATGTTAATTCGGCAATTTTAGCTTGATTGACTCAGAGTTCAAATTCCTGTAAAATATGCTACGAAAAAAGTAATGAAATATCTATAATTAAATTATTTTTTTTTTATAAGTGAGCGTACGTACGTAGAAATGAGGAAATAAAATGTTTTTAATGAAAACGTAATGTTGGAAACTTCTGAAGATATATATTCCATGCTTTTTTCAACGTAACACATATTTACCTAAATTCAACATCGGTCATTTTCAAGCTTGTAATTTTGCGTTGCGTTGCGTTGCGTTGCGTTGCATTGC